CTGCAGTCTGCATGAAACAGAAAAGCCTTTAAAATAGTTACGCAAGATATAAAATAAAAATAAAATAGAAAATAAATTGTATATATATATTTTTTTACATTTGAATTTTATCCGGGTTAAAATAATCTAACTAACTATGTGTGCGAAACACAACAAAAACATTTTCAGTTTCTCAGTAATGTGACATGTGTACATGAGGCCTGAAGTTTCACACTCTCAGGAGGAATTTTAGATTTAAATTCATAAAGTATCATAAAAAATCACTTCACGACACACTGGCAAACACATATGAAGCTTGGGCTCTGTTACACACAAAGCTCATTGCCGACACTGCAAACCGGAAGAAAAGCGAAAACGTGTGACGCAACAGGTCGTAAAACAACCTCGACACGAAAGGACAACAAGAAAACGGTTAGAAATCCCGGAACCGGTTTCCAAGGATGAAATAGTGAACTCATCTATGCTTTAAGCCTCGAGAGACCCGTGGAAAGAAAGTGAAAGGGGAGGGAGGAAGTTTAGCGGAAGATGTCGTCACTCAAAGATTTCCATGAAGCAGCAGAAAGCCCCTGCTGGCAGCGACGCCCCCTTACTGGAAACAAGCAAAGCTCAACGCTCAATGCGTCTGAATTTCTTTCAAATATGGTTTTGAAAAAGTTTGGAGCACCAGGAAGTGTAAACACAAATCAGACCTCAGCACACTGTGTCAGATAAGATGACTCCCTGTGGGTCTCTGTGGTTATACAATGGCTCATTATCAGCTTCTTATCTTGGAATTAATGACGATGAACGACAGCAGCTGTTGATTGAAACCCTCTTTTTGATTGATTTAGCATAAAAGGATTAATCTAGATTGTCTAAATCTCTTGGTGATACCACAGAGATGATAATTACCCCAAATGTTTTGCAGATTTACATTAGGAAGCCTTTTTAAATCTCTCAGGGCGGTAACCCTCCGCATCTTTATTGCAGAGACACTTCCTGATGCTATTTTGTAGAATCAGTGTAGCAGATAAATGGAACAAAAGTGGATAAAAACAACAGGATGTGTGTATTTGTCCCCGCGGAGAAACTAAAAACCCCATTTGCTTCTTGAATTTTGAAAATGGACACCATTCAGCTGTTTCCTCTTCGGCGTCTTTGCTCCAGAGTTTCAACCATTTGGTCATTTTCACGGGTTTAACTCGTGATTTCTGTCTTTGTGACTTTGGGGACGTCAACTTGTGTCATTTTTAACCACAACATAAAACATAAAACACTATAACTGCAATGACGCCGTTATCACTAACTTATCACTAGCTCCATGATTTATAGATGCCCAGCTGATAAACATGAGCCTTTGTCAGCATTTATTGTACCACATGCAGATAGAGAAATCAAACCACCGATTTATCTACGACCCACTTTAGCCGCAGACACCCTTTACACAGTTATCTTCAGTAAGGACAGATCAAACACGAATATGAATACACTTTTTCCAGTATTTAAACATGAAAGACAAAAGCTGCACTTACAAATCCTTTGGAATTATTCATTTAAAAAAAAGAAGTAATATTTACTCATTTAGCGCTTATTTTATTTTCCAGTCCCTGTTGTGTTTCTTTAAAAAATTAATATTTATAAATATGTGTAAAGTAATACAAAAAAAGAACTAAAAGAAAGAAAACAACGTGAATATAATGTTTTTTACTTATTTATAATTATTTGATTCATTACGTTTTATTATCACTGTTAATGTATTTTTGTTTTTCTCGTTTTAAATATATTTGTACTGAGTTTTACATTCATGTATTCACTTAAAAATGGCGTTTAAAAAAAAAAAAACTGAGGTAAACAATAAAAGAAAAAGTGAAATGGGCGGAGCCGGCGGACAAGCCTAGCCTGTGGAATGTGCTGATTTCCACACGTCATACGTACGCTGGCCGCTGATTGGTTTACAGACTCAAGTAAAAAAGAGCAGACAAGCCGGCGGCTCTTCAGTAAGCGCAGCAGCAGCGAACGACAGAAACTTTACAGGAGAAACGGTGACGGTACCGAGAGGCGGACGGCTGTACTGTGTATTATTTGCTGGACTATACTGGAACACAACGGCGGGACACTGAAGACGCTCAGCTCGCTGTTTTTTTAAAGCTACAAATCCCCGTTAAGCTAACGTTTAGCGACATTCCCGCTTGTTTTTGTGAACTACCTGGAAGAACAGCCATGCTCACCCTGTGCCTCGTGTTGATGTTATCCACTGCCTCCGTCTTCTCAGAGTCGGTAAGTAGTTTCTCCAGCGAGCAGCTCAACTTCAAAAACTCGTGTATCTCTGTTTCGGCAGCGCTATCTTGCTGAGGTTAGCCCTGTGTTTGTGTGCTGTTAGCGGGAGCCGGAAGGCTGTGATTTACCTGTCCTATCCCTCTGTTTAACGTACGGAAATGAGAGTTGTTAGCCACTTAGCTTCTCCTGGGATATGGCAGCTATTATTCCGAATGGGGGCGGGGGGTCACTTTTCCAGGATGAATCCCAGAGACACTTCCCAAAGAGGATCAATCCTGTTTGATCAAAGAGACAGTTTTCCGCCCCCGATAATAATACAGATGCACGCCAGACTCTCTTGTGTCTTTGAACACTTCTCCAGGTTGTTGCCAGTGTGAGCTAATGGGGAAATCTGCGTGCAGACTCCTTTTGGAGCCACTGAGACTTAAATGGTGACTCCATGTGTTGTTGTTAGAACAGAATTTGACTTTAATTAGTAGGATTTGTGTGTTATGAGGAGACTCGCTGAGCTGGAAGGCACCAAATCCCAGTTTGAGTGAGATCCATGTTACGCCCCTTCCATTCTGATGCTTTCCCATTAACTGTCTATGAATTAGCTGACCAGGGGAGCTGGATGTGTTGCAAGCATGATTAGGTAAGCCCTGCAGCGTAGGTAGATCCATATTTGCTGATGATTCATGTCTACACGTGTTGCAAACGGGATGTATTTGGATTTAGTTGGGCGATAAAATAATTCCAAAGTCCAGAGACACTGGATTGAAAGTTTTCCTTTCTTGATAGTTAGATTGTT